GCAGCCCGCCCGCTTCTATTTTTTTATTTTTTTATATATTTTTATTTTTTATTTTTTACCTTTTACCTTTTTCTATTATATACTTTCCCTTTTTTACTTTTTCTTTTAGATCCCCGCTTATATTATATTAGTAGCAGCTAAAGCTAAAAAGGCGAAACTTACTGCCTATTTATATAGCTATTCCCTGCTCCGGACTTACTAATACTAATTTACTATATACTACTTTATTCCTTTTTTTAGTAAATAAATATATAGCTTTTATACTATTATTTTATTTCTAATACTTCTATACTGCGCCCCGCTTCTTTAGTTAAAATAGCTAGGCTAATCCCTTACTTACTACGCTATATCCCCGCTCCTAGCTTCTATTTCTAGCTTTTACTTTTAGTAGCTATAGTGTTTTCGCTAGCCCTATAGTAGTAGTAGGGTGCTCCGCCCTATATAAAGTATATAGTATTACTATAATATTATAATATAACTAGCAGCAGGCTAATACCTAAAAGCTAGCAGCTAATAGCTTAGAAATAGTATTACTATAAACTATAAAAGGTAAATAGAACCCTTTTTAAATCCTACTTTAGCCGGAATAAGGCACTTTTTAGTAAATAGCGCCTATACTATTATTTTAGTTCTAGTTATCTAGCCTTATATTTTCTAACTTTAGCTTTTTAGTAGAATATACTAGCTAATCCGCGCTTTATTAGCTGCGCTTTACTAAAGGCTAGATTTTTTAAAAATAATATAGTAGAGTATCTATATAAGGTATTAATTTTATTTATATAACTTTTACCCTACTATAATAGCCTCTGCAGGGTGCTCTACCTTATATTAAGTATTTAATATAGCTATAATATTTTAATATAGCTAGTAGAGGGCTAATAACTAGAAGTTAGCAGCTAATAGCTAAGTAGGTAAAAATACGGAAAGTAATTAGGCCTTTATAGCGCCTATATATCTAATATATAATAGCTAGGTTCCTAATAAAAATTATCTTAGAAACGCTAAAAGCGATAAATAATTTAATACTATTATTTCTACCTTCCCTTTAACTAAGCCTTTATACTATAATATAGTATTTATATAAATATAAGGCTGTTTTAAAAGGTATTATTAGTAATAGTATACTAAGTAATAGTTAGTAGCCTAAAAGAATAACTATATATATAAACCTCTAGATATAGCTTTATTTTCTAAGCTAGATAGCCCTATAGACCTCTATTATAATAGCTATTATTAGTACTTTTCTAATAGCTACTTTACTTCCTATAAAATATATTCCTTTTAACCTTTTAGCACTTAAACGCAAGAACTCTAAGCTAAAAATAAAGAAATCTAATATAATAGAGTATAACTTTTATAAAGATAAGTTCTATAGATATAATAGGGAGTAAATTAATATTAATAACTTATTACTCGGTTTATTAAGCTCTAATATATTACGTTTTCTAAACCCAGGACCCCTTATTATAGTAGAAGCTACTAGCTCTTTAGGTTCGCTATATCTAGATATTTCTAGCTAATTCTAGCTAATATATATCTAGATAATAAAGGCGGCCTTAGTACTATTCCTTTTCTGTAGACCTAGTAGCCTAGCTAGGAAAAGCCTTACCTAACTACAAACGTAGAGGAGATAAACTTAACCAGAGATAGGTTATTTAATAGAAATAGTCTAGGTAGGTATATTAATAGTATTATAGCACTAATTTGCTAATTAATAATAGAATTTGCTTTCGTTCTAGATATTATAGCTAAAGTAAGCCCTAGTATAGATAATATCTAATCTAGTAGTTAACCGCGAGAATATTAGGATAATAGCCGGGATATAGCTAGGATACGCGCATTTTCTATAGAGAACACGGCAGCCGCATATAATAGTAAGTAGTCCTCCTGCAGATTTAAGAAACCTATTTTAACGCCCTTTAAAGACATATTTTTGGATCAGAGCGCACCTTATAATAATGTCGCCATAAGAAGCCGGCCATCTGCACGCAAGCGGGAGTACGCCTTATTTGCCGATAATCACACCTCAAAACTGGCCTTGGAAGACTCCCGTTCAGCAAAGCGGCAGTCAACCCAGCTACAGGCAGAGAGCCTTGCACGTAGTGCTATGTGCACACCAACATCGACAACGACGCCGCCGGCGCCAGCGGCCGGCGGCAGCCCTTTCTCGCCTCTCAGAGTCAGCAATCCAAATGCTAGTGGCGGGGACAGTGGCGGCACAGACGATGGCGCCGACACCTCCAACCAATCTCGAAGCGACCTCCTTGATTTACAGAATGGCGGTGATGGCGAACAACACGAGGGCGCGATAGAGAAAGACCTGCTGCATTCCTCAAGACAATCAGTCTCTCCGTCTGAACAAAGACCGCGCGATCAAGACTTCAGTCCGTATTCAGAGGAGGGTGGAGATAACAGCGACGCCAGCGATGGCGAAGTTGGGAGGAGCGATGAGGACGAACCCAGTCAGGCTGATGACTTTTCAGAGCGCGGCACGTCACAAACCGCTCTTAGACCACGGGATTGTAGCACAATGCGCACGACGACGTCTCGACAAGTGATCCCGCGCCAATCTCAACACCTGTCTAGGCCTGGAACAGACAGAGTGACTTGGTCTGGCTCCCCACAAATATCCCCGCAAATATCCACTCCAAGAGCGACAGCTGTGAATGAACCCAGCATCAATCGTGGACCCAGCGCCAACCAGGCCTACCAGATAGCTGATATTACTCTTCACCCTGTGCCAAAGGCTGTGTCGATTGTAACAGCAACGGTCTGTTGCAAGGAGTCAAAATTGCCTCCAGACCTCATAACGCTTGACACCAGCATTTTCGGAGAGAGAGGTCACGTCATCCGTATGACCCAGTTATCGCAGGATTCATGGTTGTTACTGGGATGCTGATATGACGACGGTGCATCAGACTCACGTCCTCATCGGAGCCGGACAGTGCTTAGTGCAGAGCAGAAGAGCAATTCTTACAGCGAAGCTGCGAATCATGACACAGACCATCAAGACAACCACATGGGCGAAGAGGATGAGGACGGGGACGAGGATACAGATGAAGACACAACGGAATACAAGCCTCATGCCATAGACCCTAATCCGAGGTTTAAGAGAGGCACAATGCGCCTTCCCAAACGAAAGCGAGCAGCGTGGCTGGAGTCGGACGACGAGCGGTTACTCGCGTACAGGAGAAACATGGCCATGGAGTGGAAGGAGATATTCAAACGCTTCCCAGATCGGACCCCAGGCGCAGTACAGGTACGCTATCACACGCTACAAAAAAAATGACCCATCGCCACAACATCGATGTATGTATCCTCTTCCCTCCAACGAAATTTCGAGGTGTAGTTGAGTCTGGCTCTCCTATTACCCCCACCTCCCGGCAAAAGAATTCCAGTGCGGATACTGTATCCAGCCAGCCGTCTGCCAAGGACAACCGGGTGACGACAAGCACTTCCTCACTGCGCGTTCCATCGACCCAAGGTCTACCACTAGAGCTAGAAGGAGCCCCACCATGACCGCCCAAGTCAAAGCCTTTGACACTCCGAACTCCAACACTGGAAGGACGTGAAAGTCAGGAGAGTGAGTCGCTCAAAGCATCGATCGCCTGTACTTTCAGGAACTCTCTGCCTCTTGGACAGCGTTTGTCTTACGAGACCACTCCGGAGACCTGTAACGTACGCTTCGCTGAGGAGATTTCGAGGTGAAAAGAGTTAAGACTGGCTCTCCTATGCCTCAGCAGGAGGCCGCCGACCATCGCCCTTCGTAAATTCCTTCCTAGGCCGAGCTTTTCCAGTTGACTGCTCTCTGCATACAACTTCAGACCAAGGTTCCAGTCTTCGCGTCCATTACATCTATTGCTCCCGTCGTGTATACCACACCACCCTTCCTCCTTAATCTCCTTTGGACGATGCCGTGCCCGTACATTTTCATACTGGAGAGTACGATACAAATATTGAATGTTGGGTGGGATATCTCGTGCTCAGCAAAGTCTGCCTGCGTCACCGCTGGATATACAACCCTGTCGCCCGCCATCTTCTTTGTGGGGCCGGGGGATCAGCCCGAGATCTTCGAGCCTTCGAGCTGACTCTGGAGCTGGCGGTTGGCGAGGCCGAAATGGCGCAGTCATCGTCGAGCTTCTTACTTTAGGCGTGCGTCGCCAGTACAGTGAGGGTTAGGATAACTATGGGCGGAGGCGCGGAGGGCGATCTCGACTTCAACGATTTCTTCGCATAGCGTAAGTACTTCCTGCCGGGCACGCTGCGAGCTCATGCGTTGTTGCTAAAAGAGAATACTAGTAACGTTCCGGAAATTCCTTTTAAGACTAAGTTTTTCCTAGTAGACTGCTCTCGGAATACAACTGCTAAAGATATAAGTCACTTATGCATTAGTTGGACAAGTCCGAAGTGGGGGCCAGTCCGTCGGATGAGACCTCTTCCCTCTTGGTGGCCAGTTCCCTAGGGGGCAGTGTGTCTTAATGCATTTATATCCATGCGGCAATGTTCTGACATTGGAACAGTTGACGACTACCGGCTAGCGATTGCTAGATTCTCCCCATAATGCTCGCTCCCTTGAGACCAACTGTAATCCAAATTAGAATTCTGGTGGAGCACTAAGAGATGATGTACAAGAGCGTAGCTAAAAATAGAGGAGCGAGTTTAAGACTGGGTGCCAGAAACGGGATCCACAGTGGACACCAGAACGGGACCCTTTGAAACTTGGGCACAGCCGCACCTCAAATCCGATACCCTGCAGAATCCCGGCTTGGCTCTGGCACTGGGAGTAACACTCAAAGCGCCCAACTGCTACAGCTGGGCGTGTTAGTTTTTCAGATGGAGGGATCTTGATTATCGTTGGGGTGCTCATTCTCGTTCTCGTCTTTGGTGCGAGGCGATGAGGCTGAGCTAAATCGGCTGCGGGCTTGTGAAGCCTGGGCGCCAAGCAAACTTGCGAGAGCTCAGCTCTTGATTGCAACCCCTCATTCACCCTCAACGCTGGGCGAGCTGTTACAAGGTGTTGCATTGCACGGCACAGCTACATGACACAGCCCGCGCGCGCTCAGCCTCCTGCTCGCAGAACCCAGCCTGCCTCCTCCCTTCTTCCACAACCTCCCTCCGACCCGCGCACTCGATTTGCTGCTCCCCGAATTAAACTCACCCATCCACAAATGGCGTACCAAACTCTCGCCATCGCCAGTGCCACCTACAATGCCTTCGCAGGACAATACAATGTAATGGCACACAACCGGGAGCCGGAGCGTGGCTTCTTCCTCACGTTCGTGGCACAGGTCCTTCAGACCCTCCGCAACGCCAGCCGCGCCGACATCCCATCCAGCCCGGTGACACAGACGAAGTAAACCGTCCCCGCCACCCATTAGATTTCACTTTACCCGCAATTTGCTCATCCCCTTGACTAACTGATCAAGGAACTTCGCCGCTTCTTCGAGGACTTTGATCTAACGGCCGACCGATAACCCTCGTCTTCCTGCCCTGCCTTGAAGCGCCTTCGGACAACCGCACGTAAAAAAGCTTCTGGCGCGCAGTCCCAGATTCGAACCCGATCTACACCGAGGGCTGCACAAATGAATACAATCATGGAAGCCGAAAAGGGCGGGGCGCTGAACAGGACTGCAGCGTAGTAGCCGAGAGTCGACGCGCCTCAAGAACTGCTGCCGCCGTCCCTCGTGGCCATGAAGCAAATGACTCCGCCCGCGGCAGGCCCATCGTTCTCGAGCCCCCTCGCATTACAGAGACATCCCATGCCGAGATGCGGCAAGCTGCGAAGACTGCCGCTGCAGCTGTTCGCAATCGTGAGCTCAACGCCTCCACTGGCCAGCCTTACATTCTTGGATCGACCTCCGCTGACGATCGGGCTGCTCGTAACCGTGAGGCCAACACGTCGGCTTCCAGTACTCAGGCCATTGTCCCCCGTCCATCCGATCGCGACCGCGGGCTGTCCCGGCTGGACAGCGCGACTCTGGAACTCTACCCGGCTGTGGAGGCAGCTCTCCGACAGAGTACTGGTGTTATGACTCCGCCGCCAACTATGTACGTCCCGCCCCTGTCTGGCGACATGCCCCCCCCCGCCTGCGCGTGCCCCGGCTGTTGCGCCTGCGCGTGCCCCGACTGTTGCGAACACTTGTAGCGCCCGCCGCGGCCGACATACCACTATTGATGTGTCTGGGGCTGCTGGCCGGCGCTTGCATAATCGCATCAGCATTACGGTCCACGATACGGACGCTAAGGATGAGGATGAGGAGTATATGGGATCTGCGCGCCAGCTAGATGCGCCCACCCCCAAAAGTACCCCTGCGGATCTGCTTTGACTCTCTTTCTTCCCTTTGGTCTGCTCTTTTTGGTTCTTTTCGACACGGCCTGGATTCGATGGCTGCCTTTGCTCCTTCTCGATCGGCCCAATTGGTGCTTTTAATCAGCCGGTCACTCCTATATTCATGATGGCTTTCCACACAGGACCGAGCTGCTCGATAGCTGCACCGCCATGCATCGCCAGTTCTCCTTCCCTTCCGTTGTTCGAAGTTCCGTTTCTATTGTCTGCCTGATCTTCCGCAGTTGCGCCTTTTCCCTGTCCTCCTCTTCGACTCTGGATGTGTCTACTGTGCAGTATAGAGTGTTGGTTGGCGTTGTTGACGTTGTGTGTGTGGAGACCGTTTGTAGGTTGCTTGGCTGGCTATATGGTGGCGTGCACGCCACGTTTGCGTATGACGGTGTTCCGCTGGGGGTGGTCTGTATCTTAGATAGTCTCGTGTCCACCATATCCACCATTGCCTTGACTTCCGTCTTAAGCGCTTCTCTTTCCTGGGTGAGTGTTCTTGTTAACTCGTTGATCTGGTTGGCGTGTTCTTTAGACAGAGTTTCTATTCGTTTGGCGTGCTCTTTTTCTCTTTTTTCTATAGAAGCTTGGGTTTTCTGGTGAATTTCCTTCTGCTCGACGTGCCCTTGTTGGAGTTTCTCTAACAATCTTGCGACAACTTCACCTATTTGCGCGATTTTCTTTCGGTCTTCTTCCCTTTTCTTTTCGAGCTCTTTTATTATCTGGTATGTGTTCTCCACCATTAGCGCCATCTTGCTTGTTCCCGTGTTCCCTCCTTTTGTCGCTTGCGTCGCGGGTTGGGAGGCTTCAGGGGTGCGCGTGTCCGATCGGCTTGAGGTCTTTCTTTGCGTCATATGTTCCAGTGCGCAGGACGCGGGCAGAGACCATGCTAAACACAATCTTTCGGCCCGAGTCTATATTAAGTCAAATGTCAAAAGCTTCTGTTGGCCGTCAACATTTCGGCTAGCAGCCTCGCCCCACATGATTCCATGAACATACGCTTCTCCAAGGAGCTCAAACCCTCTCTTCAATCGCCTAGAATGTACCTCTCGCCTTCTTAATACAAATGGAATGTTTCCACCTGAGAGTACACAGACTGTGTCGCGGCACTGCAATACAGCAGGCCCAATGCCTACATAGCCCTTGGAAGTGTAGAACAGCCTTCTTCCCCCACAGGCCTTTCCAGCCGCCATGACAAAGTGAACATCATCTTTACGGAAAGACAACTGAGGCAAATGTCGGTCTACATCAGCTGCGTTGTTGCTGCAGAATGCAGCAAAGCCATCAAGATGTTCTGATGCATCCTGATCCTGGACTATCACTCGGGTTGTAACAGCTACAACCTAGGATCAACAACTCATACGGTTCAACGGTCACCTACGTACAGACTTGGAGTTGCTGGCATAGTAGCTGCCTACATGCCTAGCCAGTTACAACTTCTACAGAGAGGGGTTGGGGTACGGTGGCCTACCCTGCCTAATGCTGCCTACTGCTGCCTCCAATTAGTGCTTCTGCCTATGCATACAGTCACTTCCTACGTAGTATATAGTTTGGCCTTCGGGCCCCCGAAATAAGACAGAGTTCACATCAATTTTCAACCTGAGTCTATCATCCCATACCAATCTTTACCTGCCGTCAGGGTCCAGCAACCTACCTTTTCAAGGGGCTCTCCTGTTGGGTAAGGAATAGTTTTAGAACGCATCTTGGCTATTACTTCGACCAGCGCCGCAGTTTGCTCACCAGGCCTTTCTAACCCAGGAATCACATCCGCCACCTCCACAATAATGTCGAATTCAATACCCGAAACACGGAGAACCCCACCCCACCTCCCCTTCCACTTGATTGAATGAGCCGGAAGGCATTCTGAGGCGGTAAATTTTTGGACTTTCGAACCAAGTGGCGCCAACGTGTAACCGGTAGAGATATTCCACCTTGGAACCCAGGTTGGTCTCCGGACGCTAGATTGGTGTTGAACAGCGGATAGTACATCAAGCGTCTGCGTTCGTTTTAACGCATGTCTAGCAACCTTTCGATAGACCGACAGAGTGCGGCACTTTGTGTTGGGCTGCAAAAAGCAGTCTTTATCGGTCGCATCGATATCCACGGTATGAAACCCTAAGAGTGCGTATATGCGATCTTTTGGTTTCTCGCAATTGAGTTTTCGGGTTACCTGCAATATATACAGGAAGCTTTCGCGTCGAGAGTCGTTTCTATTGATGGACCACTTGTGGAATAGATACGCATGCAACATGCCAGACTCTGGATTACGCGCCATTTTGCCGCAGTGAAGCGTCCTTATCGAGGTGGAAGCTAGGCCAACTGTTTCCCATGAAATACTTGCCGCTCCCCAAAGCATTTCTGCAGAGGTTGCCATTGCGATTTCTTGAAAAACCCATAGTCTTGAAAACCAGTCCAGACTGTAGAACGCTTCCACTGGGCCCCACCATGACAAGTTTCCGGGGGGAGGGATACCATTGGAGATGCTTCTAATACGATCGAGCGCCAGCTCGGCTTCGTCGGTGGTGTCTTCCCCAAGCCAAACAAGGACACGGGTAGCCTTGTTGTAGATTTCTCCCATAATTTTCATTTGGTCTGTTATCTCTCCCCGGTCGCTTTGGTTAATGCAGACGGCGTCGGCCCATATTAACCGTTGAGCATCGGGGAGGCGGAGACGGTTGAGGGCATTCATCAAATTGAGCCGGATTTTGAGAGGCTTCCCACAGCACCACAGGACGCCGCCATCTTGTTTGTCCCATCTGTAGGATAGAGCTTCGTATGATGGTGCTGAATCAAAGTGGACAATGTTAAGGTGACACGACAAAGGCTGGTCACTTCCTCGACTCGGGTGGATTACTATCAATCTTATGGTCCTTTGGCTTAGAGGTTTGTACCGATAGTGGTCCGAATCAAAGCCATTCGTTCTGCAGCGTCTTGCGGGAAGCATCCGGGGAACTTTTGGGTGAACTTGTGCTATGTAGGATTTAGTGATTTTATAGAGTGCCCTGTCCTAGCAAATTGGAGCTTACCGTTTAGGTTCGCATTCTTCTTCTGGTCCCTAGCTCCTTTCTTTTCCCGTCCTTGTTTTGAGACCTTTTCAAGCCCGCGTCTTTCTGTAGGGTCACAGACACTTATTAGAGCTATCTCCCGAGACGATCGGATAGTGTGGGACATGATTCTAATCTGATTTACAAAAAATCTTAAGTATTGCTTTGGGTGTGTACTCAGAGGTGTGCACTTGGGATTGAAACGCTTTCACGGCTGCCTGGCAGCCTGGGATCTGCTGAGTAACTCGGCCGTCCCCCATCTAACTCGACGGGAACCCTCACTTCACTCGTCTACAGAATATCAACCACAGGCAAATTGACCAATCCGGTGGGTGCAATCAAATTTACATCCTCTCGTTAGGGAAGTTCTACAGCTGGTTAGAATTTATTTTAGCGTTGTTGACGTGATGCACATACAGAGCCGCTTCCTTTGCAGTGAGTTTAGCGCGCTTGGCGGACGCTGGCTCATATATGCGTGTATACATGACTACCGCTAGTTAGGAGGGCAATATGCCAGTGTGACGTAGTTCCAGAGCCCCCTAGGAACTAAACCCGCCCTCTTCTTCCCGCGATATTAAGATTTTGTAGCTAATATAGGTATAGCCGGCGCTGTCACGATAGCGCTACACGCGAGAGGTCGAGGGCTCAAAGAGGAGCGTTGATTAGGTGCTATGTACAATGCTACGTGGAGAATCAAGACGTTGTGTAAGGGACAGGAAGACGGGAGACGGGCCACCGGATATAAGGGCGTGGCCGAGCGCGTGGCGTACGGCCTCTATGCCGTTTCGGCGCGTGGCACGCGTGTACGCGAGGTCCTTACCAGATCAGGTGATAGGAAAAGGGGGCAGCCGGTAGGTGGCTGGAGCGGGACAGGATAGGAAGCGGAAGCGAGACGGGAGCGGAGCAGGGCAGGCAGGGCAGGAGGCCGGCCAGCGGTAGTAGGCCGGTGCAGATTGCTGGAGTTGTAGCAATCTGCGGCAGAATTTCGGTAGGTAGGGTGTCGCGGTCGATACCGTGACAGGCGCCTATAATATATTAGATATTAACTCTAGTAAGCCCGGTACTAAGTAAAGGTCGGTATAGCCCTCTACTAGAAATGCGCGATATATTAGTATAATAATTAGATTGCGACGGCGAGCTAGATAAGGACTAAGTTTCTAGTACTATAGCCTGGCTACTACCTCTAAAAGCGCTAAGATTAGCGGGTTGTTCTTAAGAGGTCCTATATCTTAAAAAGTGCCAACATCGCGAAAATATTTTAGCAGAAAGAATCTATAAAAGAAGTTAGATTAAAAGAGAAGGAAAGCTGTTAATATACCCCGGGGTAGTAGATATAGCTCGTGCTCCTATCTAAATATACTAAGAGACTAAGAGAGGAGGGAAAAAGAGGGCAACTTATAAGCATAAACGCGATCGATACGGCTATTGCGTAATATGCTACGGCCGCGATATAATACTATAGCAGAGCCGCTAAGCCTATAGCTGCCAGCAGCTGCCTTTTTAGAGATATATTTTTAAGGATTGCTAGAGATCTACTTAGTTAAATAGCATGCTAGTAGCGCCCTGCTATACTATAGTAGCGTTATCTAGATACACGTATTTTTTATTTCTCTATTAACAACCTATATTTTAAAAGGGTTAGCAATATATTACTATTATCGACCTAGTAATAATATATATACCTTAATCTGCTATTACGTATACTTTATTATAGTATTTAGTGGACCTCTAATTAGTAACCTTTAATTTACTTTATCACGGTATTTAGCGGACCCCTAATTAGCAGCCCTTAGTTTTCTTTAGCTAAATTAGCAACTATAGCTCCGGCTTTCTTTACTCTTATATTTTTTAATAAGCGTTCTACTACTTCCTTAATTAATTAGCACTATAGATTAATCCTTGCACACCTTCTTCCTTAATACTCCTTTATTTTACCACCTAGTTAGATTAGTTAATTAGAGGTTTAATAAGGACATCGACTTCCTTTAGGGGGGCAATTATTATAGCTAATTAGGCTAAGATAGGTTATATAGCAGGTAGGCATAGAGGATAGGTTTATATAGATTCTCTTAGTAGGCCTAACCTGCCTCCTTACTCTTAACAATACAAATAGTACTACTAATTAGCAGGCTTCCAGAGTCGCCCGTTCTACGTGAATCCCGTCAGATCCACCTCTATTACACAAGTCGTGATAGAATTCCAAACATTAAAACATGCGGTAGAAATTAAAGCACCAACGCGTCTTTTCCCTTAATATACACATACATCCTCCAAAGAACAAAAGAAAATCTCACAAAGTCCTCCCTCCTCCCGAGACAAGTTAAGTATCCAAATATCATACTCATTTCACGCTTGTAGTGCTAAGGACGACCGGGTGGTGGAGGAGGAGGTGGAAGTGATACGGGGGGAGGTAAAGACATGACCGGAGGAGGTAGAGACGAAACCGGAGGAGGCAAGCCCGTAAGAGGAGGCATTGCCTTCATACCAACACCTGCTGACATTCCTTGGGCTGCCGAGCCAGCCAACTCGATAAAACCACCCTGCTTCTTGAAGATGCTGGATATTCCCGCTGCAAATAAAGCAGACAATGAGAATATAAACCACTGTAAAACACTTAAGGCCGTTCCTGCCGTGATCTGGATTGTCGATACTGACTCCACTTTGGTGATATACTCCATCGCAGCAGTCACCTGGCTAACAGTCAGGGCCGATGCTAAAGCAAGTCCAACTGAAGTCCATATGGCTGTAAGAGTGGCGCGTCTGAGTGATTGCCGTCGACTTTCTGCGTTCATTTTGCCCGTTTGCGCCGCTTTAAAGTGTCTTTTCAATAACAGGACTAGCAAGAGACCGATGACGAGCAAAATGCCGGCGACAGCCAGTAGGTAAAGAATTATCTTGGACTGAACCGTAAGAGCGAAGGAAACTAATTCCTTTGAATCCGATACATCACTGCTGCTGAGATTTCCGTTGAATATGAATTGGAGGACCCTATCAGCCGTCTTGCCAGAGCTTGATTGGCAGATCGAGTGGTCTGATACTGAAGCGCAGATGCCTACTTGTTCTTTAGTAGTGCTCACAAAATTTACTAAAAGGCAAGTATTACCAAAGTAGTTGACCCGCAATTCAGTTATGGAGGTCGTGCTATTTCTTGGCTGCAATTTGACTGCAAATATGTTTCCTATTCCTGGGGAGTTGGATACACACCTAGTAAGACTCAGGCCTGAATGCAGATTAGCTTAATGGCAACTGTTAGAAAGACTTGGAGTGCTACCGTAGAAGAGTATAATGGGTATCGGAAGGAGATAGACCCAAAGGCGATAGTTGATATTTTCTAATTGTTAAGGTAAGATGGAGGCATTATCACACGGATGCGGCCCTGAAACTTACGCATGCGGTTGTGCACACTGTCCAGACCCATTTTGACGCAGTATGTTTGGTTTCTGAAGATAAGCAATAAATTCTGCGTGAAATGAACGGTGGAACGGTGGAACGGTGGGATTGTCTTGCGAAGGTAGCTGAAAATACTATGTCCCTATTTATCTTGCTGAGTGACCGCAATAGGATATCTCTAGGAAGTGGTTTGAAATGCTACGATGGTACAGTGCCATATAGCACGCGCGCGGCTCTTTCTTGAAGCACTAAAATTAGATGCATGGTGCTTTGGAAAGGGTCCCCAAACCATTCTGCTGCAATGCTGAAGTTCTCCACAGGCAAGGAAGCCAGGCGCGTCGGCTATTGAGCCATCGAGAGTCAAAAAAGGTCACCCCTTGAGTCCATTTCAGAGACCCAACAGTATCATTCTGTTCCAAATTAGCAGTTTGGAGTTACAGAAATCATGAGATGCAGACAGCTACGCCGCAGCCGATCAATGCGTTTTGAACACCAATGAATTTGCGGTAGCTGAGAGACTGTGAACCATCGAATGTTTGGTTCTGTTTCGAAGTAGCGCTTCAGGGTTTCCATAAAGTGGGAGTGATGCCAACAGCTACGCCGCAGCCGACAGACGGGGTTTGAATACCAGTGAATCTGCGGTAATTAGAAGGCTGTGAACCATCATACGTTTAGTTCTTGTCAGTTCGCTGCTGAAAGACATCTCGCCATGTGGAACATCAGCTGTAGAGAACAAAGTTCAGCTCGACAGAACACAGCTGAGGATGGTCAGCTTGACAGAACGCAGCTGAGGACGCTCGCCACTCAGGAGGTCGCCACCCAGGGGGTGGCCACAGTTCTGTTTCGGAGAAGCGCTTCCGGATCCCAGAATTGTGAGTGATGCTAAAGGCTACGCCGCAGCCGATGAACGCGGTTTCAACACCAATGAATACGCGATAGTCCAAAAGCTGTGAACCCCGGGGCCATTGCGCGCGCTTGTTAGTCGATCGACCAAGTTCGTTTCGCCTTCTGGCCCGTCAGTTGGTGGCAGAGTGGTGTGGAGCTTGCTTCGAGGCTAACTACTGTGCCGCAGAGCAAACCAACGGGGCTAACGAGCTGAAAGGGGAAATGGTCGGACTCATTGGGTGGTTCGCCAAGTCTGCAGCACAGCTCGCTGGCGGATTGCCCAGATTTGTACGATGGCTCTGAGGATGCTTTAGAGCGCGTTTGAGGCTTCGGTGTGGTTGTGTTGGTAGCCACTGGGCAATATTTGACGCCGAGCTGTCGCCGTCACCCCGGCGGATATATCCTAATTTGGAGAGCTCTTGAGGCCTCTAGCTCCGTTCTGGTCCTGAAAATGAGGGCCCACTCACGGGCAGACGCCGCGGCACAGCTGCTTCGCCTCATCCCATCGCAGTCCCCTGGAGGTTCTCACCCTTACCGCGTGCTCCTGTCCTAGAGAATGACTGCCAGTGGGTTCATGGACCTTACCTATTTATGACTTTTTGCTGACTTTGGAGCGAAAAGATGAGAATGTGGAGGTTTTGCCAGCGAAGAACGTTGCCCAGGTGGTCCATAAAACTACCTGGGTAGATTATTTTGCTTATCTAATCCTGATGTGCGGACGCGGGGCAGAGGTGGCCCAATCAGGGATGTCTTGGCTCGCTTCAGGGGCCCGTGCCCCTGGAGCCAGGCTGCAACCTCCAACCCGTACCACGCTCCCTTGATCTTTGCAACATCCACGCTTCACAAAGGCCACTTGATCTTGCCCATTCACCCAATTGCATTCAGCTCTATCATTTTCTCACCTTTGAGAATTCTTTATTCCCGCTTGTGCAAGTGCGCTATTCTAGTGCGTTTGATTGACTTTCCGATTGTCGGCTCCACAGCACAAACTCCTTCTTCAATCGCTGGCAATCCGCCCTTGGGATCAGTCCTGGATTCAGTCTCAAGTACGTCCTCTCGGACCCTCTAGAACATCCGTTAATTAGATCAACAGCTCCCGTCTCATTAATACCTTCCGGCTCTTCAACACCTCCCATGATTCCCACGGACATAAACTTTGATGTTGAACACTCGACTTTCTTCCAGCACTATAATCAGTTGCCATCACCAGCTGAAGTCCGCTCGCAAGCATATGCCCAATATCTTGCTGGCAGTAGCTGGGGAGATAAGAGGAGAGATGTCTCTACTACTGGCTACAATCAACGTCCATCCCCAGCAGTGTTTGAGTCCATGGGTCTGTTTGTCAAATGGGGATCCGAAGTAAGCATCGCGGAGGGCCAATGCCTTTACACAATTCAACACTGCTTCAAAGATACTGTACCAGTTCCCGAAATCTACGGATGGCGTACAGACGGCAGCCAGGTCTTCCTTTATATGAAGGCAATCAGTGGGAGGACTTTGGAACAAGCTTGGCCGGAGATGGAAGTGAATGATTGCTTGCGTATTTGTCGTGAGCTTCGGACAATTTTCGATACTCTACGCCAGCTGAAACAATACTCTTCGGATACGTTTGTTGGTGAGGAAGCTAGCATCTCCCTATCTAGTGGAATATCTAATCGCTTACACTAATTGCGCAGGCAGCATCGCACGGGGCCATCTTTACGATAGGGCAATCAACCCAAGGTACATGGCCGAAGCTGGGCCATTCGCCTCCGTGAAAGAGTTTCACGATTGGTTTACCTTTCTGCACAAGCGACCGATGCCTGACCCTCACACTGTACCCCCAGAGCCCTTCCGCCAAGATCTTCCTGATGATAGCGATATTGTTTTCACACATGGAGATCTTCATCCAAGCAATATTATTCTATCGCTATCTAGTCCGCCTCAAGTCGTTGCAGTCGTAGATTGGGAGCAAGCAGGCTGGTGGCCGGCCTACTGGGAAGATCGTAAAGCTCACTTCACGAGTGACTATTCAGGCGAATGGTCTGAGAAATATCTGCCAATGATTTTGGATCAGTACAAAACCACCTGGGACGCATGGGACTACTACACGTCATCTATGGGATGCTGAATGTCACACTGCGCTGGTTCGAGATAGCTTAATTTTGGTCTCAAAATTCATGATTAGAGGGCCCCATTCTTTTCCTTCTTGCTAGATGCTTTGGTCTTCGGTTTTTGCAATGATGCTATTTACGGCAGCTTACGCGCTGTGAACGTTGTTTCTGGAGAGGAGCCGCTTGGCAGTTTGAAGAAGACAGTAACGGGGATGAGGGGAAATGGGGAAGGGGGAAGGGGAAGGGGGCGCACACGCGGCAGCACGGCCATACCGCCAGACCTGCGAGGCGCTGCTCAACTGCTGAAACAGCTTAAGCTCATGAGTAATGAAAGCCTCCGTTTTAGTCTCTTTCGCGCCGCGGCACAGCTCTTCGCTAAATTCAGTATGAGGTGAGGCACAGCACGTGCTTCGATTCAAAGTGGGTAGAGCAACGGCCGACGAGAGCGTATCATTATACTATGGAGTAATATGAGGTACGTGTTGTGTCAGACAGTTGAGGCACAGCAAGTTCCTGTCTCTTTGGTGGAGGGCAGCGAAAGCCTGAGACGCCATCACAAGCCTCCGCCGTCCATACCATGCTGCGATGCAAAATTAGCTTTAATCAGTTTCAATTGAACCGCGCGGGAAACGAAGATTCCTCACTTGCTAGTCTTCAAGGAGGTCAAGGATCGTTGAGATACATAAGGCTCTCAGTCCATCACATCTGTTCAATCGCTATCCACCATCGTCTTGAATTTCGAATCTACATCTCCATCTACTGTATCTCACACTGTCTCATCTCTGCTTGTCTATACTGTTATATCACATTGTCATTACATATCGTCCAGATCTCTTCCAGAAAATGGCACGAACGATCTATTTGGCTGTCTTCACGAATGGCCAGAGAGCCGCTCATTGGGCCATCTGGATTCCAACTACAGGGCAGGAGGTTGTAGGAAAGATGCTTCACGTCTCTGGATCCCCAGCCACTGGATTTTTCCTAGAATTCAAGCGCAACTACGACTTTCGATCGACCAACCGCCGTTATCAGGTGCTTCCCTTAGCACAAGTCCATGACCAATATGTTGTCGACACTCCAGGAGATACGTTGATCACGGAGACAACGGCCCGCGACCGTGTTGAATCAACGGCCACTGTCGTGCCGCCTCCAGGTCGCGCTGCCAATCCATTTGACCCAATGGTATGAATATCCTCCGGTAATACCAACTTTACGATTGTTAACATTCTCTACAGGCCCCCAATTGCCAAAGCTAGATAGTTGCTTTTGTTGAGAGACTCATTGCCGACGGATATGTCACCGTCGATGCGCGCGTAGTTCTACAGAATGCGCCTAGAGTGTTGTGAAGTACCAAGCAAGTGACTATTGGACTGATAGACCTTACTTCCGCGGACAAGTCATGCGGGAGATTTGTGGGGGGCTTCAAGAAACGCACGAACTGTGTGCCTCGTCAAACGTCTTGTTTTCTGTATCTGTTGCTTGTTTCTGCTTGTTTCTGCTTGTTTCTGCTCATTTCTGCTTATTTCTGCTTACTTCTGCTTGGTTTTGCTTGTCTTTGCTTGTTTTAGTCTATGTTTCTTTAAACTGTATCTGTATATCGTCGTGTTCATGTGCACCGTATCTAGCTAACGGATTTCATCTACATCATTGTCAGGTCGACAGTTAACGTATTCACTCCAGACTGCTATCTTGATGTCCTATCTGGGTTTTCTAGCCTCTAAGCCACCGGCATGCCATCAACAGGACCATCTGACATCAGGATCAGTGATATGTTTGTTATTGAACGAGCTTAATTACGCAAATTAGCAAACTACGAGTCCTTGGGTGATACCTTTCGTACACATTGTGATGCGTGCTCCACGAATGGCGCATAAAAACCACATTTAAACTTGCCTTGTCGGTATTATCGAAGTCGCGTATCGTACTCATCCCTTGCTCCCTTTAGATGATGACCATGAAATGCTCGAAGGGGCTGTACGGCCTGATCCATGCCCCGTTGAGAGCCTGGGGCTAACCCTCAAGGGAAGCTTCAGACGACATTGGAAACCGTTTGCCACTCGTAGCTCTACCCACGCGTAGATAGTAAAGTGACGCAAATCAGCAAGCTTGGGCCGTCAGGTATTAGACTGTAAAATTCCTCGAGACTTATGGTCCTGAAACTGGAAGCCTAGCAGGCGAAGAGGCTCACATATGGGCCTTATGAGCCTTCTGAGTTAAAGTGAGAATCCCATTCTCGACATTCGCTATCGATGATGGGCCCAAGACTGGTTCCCAAAAGGCTGCTCAGTCTCAGCTCAGAATTCTCTCACTTAGCGCAGCTACGGCTCAGTTCCTAACACTGGAAAGGAACTTCTTGGGTGTTGCATATCGCGAGTTACAGAGTATGAATCAACGCCTAACTTTGGTAATGTAATGAGGATGACCAGCTATGCATGCGGCGAAGTATATTGACAAGAAATAAATTTAAAAGCCAATATATGGCATCTACCCCATGGTCACTCTTCCACATACTCTACTCATCATCTTTTAATACTCAAGCAAGTTCTTGATTGCGTGATACACCCCTGATTAGATTAGCAAAGACCTGAGGGATGTAAGACAGGATCAAAGACTTACTCGTCACGTCAGGAATAATAAACTGCTCATAAGCCAGTCCCGTATGCGTCGCCCAACCCGCAACTCTCTTCACCGGCGCCTCAAGTCTCGTAAACGCGCCCTCCTGGATCGTCGCCGCGACCTCTGCACCGACACCCGCATTTTGCATACTCTCATGGACGACCATAGCGCGTCCCGTTTTCCGTACACTATTCAAAACTGTTTCCCGGTCCCAGGGATAGATGGTCCGCAAATCGATCAGCTCAATGCTGCACCCGAAATCCGCCTCGGCCTTTTTAATCGCTGCTTCACAAGTATAGAGTGGCGTGCCGTATGACACGATTGTCATGTCTGAGCCCGTTTTCAGGACCTCAGCTTTATCGAGGGGTAGGACGTAGCCATCGACGATGGTCGAGAATATGTGATGGTCGACGATGTGTGGTGGTCGAGGATGTGTGGTGGTCGAGGATATGTGACGGTCGAGGATGTGTGACGGTCGAGGATGGCTCACCTGAGACCCCTACATCAGTCAGCATGCTTGGCGCGCCAAGCCTCATCCAGAGGAGCCGGGCCTGGCGGGGTCCGCTCGCGTATCCCGCTCACTTGCAGCTCTCACAGTTCTGCATTCTATCCCAATACCACACAGCTTTCTGTCGATAGACTCTACCTAACATCCAACTTCCGTCTATTTCCAGCGGATGGAACTTCAAGCCTGCCAGTGGACAACGCCGCACAGACCTTCAACCCAACGCACTCGCTCAACTGCAACGTACTCGCTCCTTCAGCTGGAACCACAGACTGTACCTGCTGTCGTCGAGACAGTCGGGCGCATAGACTAGTCCGAATATATCACCACGCTCGGTCGCCAGCTCCACGCCTTTCGCCTATAGTCAAGCCATTAAGTTAATCGAGCTCAAGGCCATCCTTCCCAGTTTTATCGCCCGCTCTAAGCGTTGTACTCCTTCCTCTCAATACAAACCAATATCCTTGAAGTCCAGCGGATATCTCCCGCTTCCCGGCTATATATAGAACTCAATAGAAATATAGTTAATAGCTATTAGGCTCAGCCGGTAACACCACCTTAGAGGGCTAAAACTTATAGGTTGTATAACGTATTCCACCACCGAGCCGGCCAAACCACCGAGCCGGCCACTTTTCCTTGGCACAACCAACACCATGTGCGCGCAGTCAATTTATTCGCAACCAGCTATAGAACTTGTGTACGACACACTTAGATCAGATTCAGAAGAAGCTTCTTGATCCTTTTTGCACGTACGCGCATTGTGCCCAGCCTCTCCACAGTTTCCACAGCGCCGTTGAGCTGGTAGAGCCCTATTTGCACCATCTCTACTACCCACCTTTTTCCGTGGATTAGATGCTCCAGACACTTTAGCAGCTACGTACAACGCTGCTGTACCATACTCCATTGTACCGCCAGTCTGGATTCGCTTTCTTTTACGACCTTTACGCTTGGTTATCTCTGCTAGTTGCTCTTCAAGCTCTTTAACCCGGGCTTTGATAAGCACATTTTCGTGTAGCATCTCTTCAGCTCCTTTAATAAGCTTTAAGAAGCCTTTTTAGGCGGTTGTTGGTAACTGTACAAAGGAATTGCTTACTAGCCTTAACTGTGATCCAAATTCGTACGTATTGCTTAGGGTCTTTAATTACCATAGTGTTTCTAGTAGGGGTGCTAGTAGTAGGGTCCGTAACCGTATATTAAGGCGATTAAGAACTACCTGTGCGTTAATAGGAACTAATCCAGAGGCCTTAAAGGCCTTCTTGCAGTTCTTATACGTAAACATATTAAAAAACGCGTTTTTAAAGGCTGGTAGGAAGCCTTCTTTATTAATATAGTAAACGCGTCGGCGTGCTAAGTCTTATATATATTAAGAGTACTTTAGCTTTAATAGCGAGAAGTATACTATATTAAGTAGCTAAAGTATATGCAATAAATACGCAGGCATACAGAGGGTAAGGATTTATTATTTAATATAATAATCCTTAAAATCTTAGTTAAGGTGGCTCTTATAGCCGTCTAAAATTAGCAACCTATATAACCCTACCTAACGCGCCTTTATATACGTGTTAAAGTGCTTTAACTACTTAAGACTAAGCTTATTATTAGTCCAGCCGTTCTTAGAGATAGAGAGCTTCTAATTATATAGTATTTCTACTTTCTTATACTATATAGAGATATAAATACATCCTTTCTAGATAATAAATAGTAGGATTATATATCCGGCAGCGCAGATGCTCTAGATAACTGTAACCTACTCTTAGTTACCTAGTTAAATAAAATTAGGCCTTATATATCTCTCTAAACCTGTAACAACCTTTATTATACTAATTATACCTATTTAAAAGCCAGTTTTATTAAAGTTATAGATATTATCTAGGTGGATACTATACTTAGCTATAGTCTCTTACATAAAAGTAAACTATATATTAATAACCTCTAGGTTTTCCTAGAGTATTCTTTAGCGGTTCTTTACCTAATTAAAAGCTATTTTAAGCTCCTTTATATAAGATATAAACTGTTAAGTCCAGTTCTTACCTACTAGTATCCCACTACGCGCAGCTAGTACTTTATCTGCTATATCTGCCACCTTATATAACCGGGGCGCAAATCCTTACAAGTCTAGGTTAAAGATATATTATATAATTATATGCTCTTCGGTCGCAGTAAGCTTTAGGCAGTTTAGTTATAATTAAGGTTAAAATATAATTTCGTGGAGCCGATTAGAGAGCCGCTAATATTGTACGTTAAAGGCTGCTGCAGCGCGTTATATAGTCCTAAATTAACTAAAGGTAAAGGCTTAAAGCGCAAGATTAATACTGCCTTTTTACTAAAATAGATAATCGCTGCGTTGTTAATATATTGCTGTGTAAATATAGTATTGGTTATGCTAAGGAAAAGTAGCCGGCTTAGTAGTTTAGCCGGCTTAGTAGTGGAATACGTTATATATATTGTTAATTACAACTATAAGCTGTATTTAATTACTTAGTTAGGGTTACCTAAGTACCCTAATTTTATAAAGTTTCCTAACCTTAAAAATATTAAGGTTTCTTCTATTTAGCAAAGCCTCTATATTGCTAAAACCTAGAGAGATTTAACTTTACTTAATTATAGTTCCCACGCGTTAATTAGAACTACTAATAATAAGGCTTTCCTAATTTTTAAACTTACCTATCTAGATAAGCAGTCTATTATACTTATATAGTATAAGTTTAAGATTCTTAATTAATTAGCAATACTTAAAGTACTTGTTGTTGCGGTTTATACCTAGCCTTTACTTAATAAAAAAGTTATTTATAGCTATTAGATAAAGATACTTTTTAAACTCTAACTACTAGATTTATAGTCCTATAGGAATAAAGTCTAGCATGCTTTTTATCGTTTCTATTCTGCAGGCTATTATTATAGAAATATAAGTCCTAGCAATATTATAAAGAATAGAGGCGGAAAAATTACTTTAGTTAATTTTAGCTTTACAGGTTAACTAGAAAGTAATATCCTATTATATATTCTAAGTTAGGTATATACTAACGGCGTTTTCGATATTAAAACTAATATAGGAGCATTTAAAAGGTTTATATAGTTTTATATAGCTTCTACTACTTCTATAGTAGGTAAAATTAGTCTATAGCTAATATATATTAGGAATTTATTAAAATAATAACTGTTTTAATACTAAGTTATCTAATAAAATATAAGACCCTATATACCCTTATACTTATTTTCGCATTATTTTAATAACTATAAGGCCGGCGAGAGTATAGTAGATATATATTGCTATATTAACTTTAAGCGCGACAGCTATATAGCTTAGAAAATAGTTACTAGCAATATAGGTATATATAGAAGTATAGATATTATATTTCCTTACTTTATAAGCGTAACTAAGCCTATCTAACCCCTTAGCAAGGTAATAAAGGAGCGTGTTATATAGCTATTTATCTAACTGCTGCACCTGCTGCTGCTATACCTGCTATATAAAGGAGAATAGTAGGGTTTAAAGGTATTACTTAGGAAAAAGGTGTCTAAAATCTATAGAGCTTTAGAAGTGCAATACTAGAATTAATTATAAAACAACCTTGCTTAGTAAATTCTAAGTTATTATATTTTAATAAAGAAAGTAGTATACTATACCCCTAATTTCTAGATTAGTTCTATAGTTTATAGTCTATATACTAGCCCGAAAAATATATAATTAGTTGCTCTTTAATACTAGTATATTTAGGTGTACCTTGCTTACCGCAAGTTTTAACACCGCCTACTTTAACTACGCAGCTGCAATTTAACTATTATCTAACCTCTTATATATATATATTAAAATTAATAATTTAAAATCGGTAAGTTGGAATTAGTAAGCCCTAAAGGTTTAGGTGCAGTAATAAATTTTATATAGAGAAAAGTAAGACAACCCGCTAGATTTAGACTAAGATATTAGTAAGTAAGCCTGTAAATAAATTAAGAGGATAGGGTATAAAAAGATTAAATAGCGTTCTATATTATATTAAAGTGCAAATATTAGGTTCTAATTAGCTAAAGAGTAATAAGTTATAAGTAAGAAGGATTAAGGCTTAGTTAAATATATATAGGCTTAACCTTTACAGGATTAGGCGGCAGCTTTTAAATAGTTTAGAGCTATATCTGCTAGTATAAATAGGCGGATAATCTAAAATAACTATAACCCCCGGTCTTAATATATATATATATATAGTTTCCGGTAAAACTTATACTTTTACTTACCTATACTTACTAATAGATTCTGGAATTTAAACGGAGTTAAGGCCGGATTATATTATAATTAAGGAATAAGCAGAGGCGCCCGGCGTAACCTAACAGCGTTCTATACTAAGCCTAAGCTAGGTTAAAGCATACGGCTACTATAGACCCTGCTACCTTTACTAGTTAGGCAACTCTACTAACTCCACCGCGCTGCACCTCTACGCCGCACTAATATAGTTGTATTCTCTTAACGTACTAAGCTATAACACCCTTAGCTAAGCAGCACAGCAGTATAGCAGCACGGCGGTAAGCAGCAGGTATAGTAGTAAGGATATCCTATTAAACTATATTATCGGTTAAACTTTTCTAAAGGCCCTAGCTTATCTATTATAGAACTATTAGCGCTAACCCTATATATATTGCAGGATATAGTAAGCTGCGTACTAAAAAGGCGCTGCTCCCCGCCCGCCTCTTAAGTAGTCCCCTATTTTATTTATAATTACTAGATGCTTAAACTATAACTTTTAGGTCCACGCAAATATTAACGCCTAGAGCGGTTTTAACTAAATAAAGTATTGCAACTAGTATTAAAAAAGCAGAGGCTTAGCTATTATAGTAGATCCTAACCACCGGCGGTATTTTAGGATAAATTATTAAAGATCTGGATAATAAAACAAGTATTAAGAGAGCTAGACTAAAGAAATACTTAAGCTACTCTAAACCTACCCTGTTTACTATATTAATAAATCCGCCGGCCGGCTACTTAAAACTTCCTTACTTAGTTAAAGAAAAATTGCTAAACTGCCTAAAATACCGCTAACTACCTTTACTATTGCGATTTAAGAACCCTTAAAAATATAAAGCTATTTACTAAATATAGTAGTCTAGACCTGTTGGACCTAAGGAATATATATACTATAAAATACTTATTAACTAGCGCTAAAGCTAATAACGCTTTCTAGTACCCTAAACCTATCCCTTTTTCTAATTATATAATAAGCTTAAGCTAGTCTAGTTTTTAAAACTAATAATAGGGTTTAGTAAATCCCTTAAGCACTAAACCTACTATAAATATAATAAAGATAAAAAGTACTAGGGTTTATAACCGTGATTTTCAACAACACCTTATTAATAACGCTGTTTATCCTTATAGTTATAGATATCTAGATAGCAGTATGCCTGCAAAGCTAAATAATTGGGGGGGGATTAACCAAAGATTAGCGTAACCTTGGCCTTCTCTCTCGCCATCTAAATTTACTGATAAAGAGTTTGAAAACTTTGTGCAGGCTGATGCGGATGCCGCCAAAGAAAAGCAGGTTTCAGAATCCGTGATTCCTATCATCGAGGGCAAGATCGCGGACGCGAGATGCCGCTCAGGAGGAATCCCGTTCACCAATCTCGATCCTCTTACGGACGGCACGCTTAAACCCGGGAACCCAGACGTCTACTACGGCGCGCGCCCGGAACAGCTCGCTCGAAAAGTCCGCGACAAGCTTGGCGGCAGAATTATTCCTTCAACGCAGCACGACCTTCCCCTCGCGCCAAACTTTTTCCTGGCGGCCAAGGGGCCAGATGGATCTGCTGCTGTGGCCAAACGACAGGCTTGTTACGACGGCGTATTGGGAGCGAGAGGCATGAACAGTCTTCAGTCATACGGGAAAGGCGAGCCTGTTTCTGACAACAACGCTTATACTATTACGTCGATTTACCACAATGGCCAGCTCCAGATGTACACCAGCCACCCCACTCAGCCATCTACTCCTGGGGGCCGTCCAGAGTACCACATGACTCAGCTAAATACTTGGGGAATGACCGGCAATCCCGAAACTTTTCGGCAGGGAGCTGGCGCGTTCAGGAACGCGCGAGATTGGGCAAAAGAGCAGAGGGACAAGGCGATTGAGCAGGCGAACGAGAGAGCAATGGATCAGACTCAGCCAGAACAGCCAGAGGGTCGCTCTGAATACCACATGACCCAGCTGAGATCCTTTGCTATGACCGATACTGCTGAGACTTTCCGACAGGGTGCTGGGGCGTATAGGAATTTAAGAGACTGGGCAAAAGAGCAGAGGGACGAAGCCATTCGACAAGCGAACGAGAGAGCTGACCCCGTTGAAGCTGAAGCACCAGCACCGACAGGTGATCTAGCGGGTGATGCATCAGGCGCTAGCCCTGCTTCAAGTTTCGTGACAGCAGTGTCGGATACAGAAGCCTACACCACAAGTGGAGTGTTTCAGACGTCGCCGAATGGAGATTCTAATACATGGGGGGACTTCGAGGAATCCGATAGTTCAACAGAGGAGCTGGATTACAGACCACCGGCTAAACGTTCCAGCAGGCGTTCTAAGCCCCCACAGACCGAGCCAAAGCGACGCAACGCCGGTGAATCTACCGACGGCTCACACAGCCATGGACCCGTTTCGCAAAGCTCCCCGGCAAACGTTGCAACAACTCAGCAGCGCGAAGAGTGGTCATGGACAGATGGCAAATTTCAATGTCGCAAAGGGCAGACACTTGTAAAGGAGCAGAGCGATGCTCCGGCTGATGTGTGGGTTTACTATGATCAAGGCTGGCCTGGTCAAGGAGAGAAGAAATGGAGGCATTGGATGTCGGCCACGCGTGAAATCCTATATTCATGACGGCAGAGGTTTTCGTTGAATACTTGTTCATTCTGTTGAACTGTTAAATTCCGAGGGTAGTAATTCACTCGATTATCACAGCGCTATTTGCTTTGGGCGGGCATCGCCATTACGGTGAGGACTAGGATTAACGCAGGTCGAGTCACACGTGATGTCGCATCTGGATCAGCGCCATCTACAGCTTCCAAACGCCGCGAGGCAACAAGCCCGTCGGCCGGTTGCGCTGCTGGAGTCTTGTTCAGCGCCCCGCCATTTTCGGTCTCCATGATTGTATTCATTTGTGCAGCTCAGTAGAGATCAGTTCGAATCTGAAACTGCGAGCCAGAAGCATTTTTACGCGCGATCGTCCGTAGTCGCTTCAAGGCAGAGCAGGTAGACGAGGGTGGGGTTCTGAGAGGGTCTGTTGACTGCCGGTGGAGGAGATGGGCAGCTAAAAATAGAGGAACGAGTTCAAGACTGGTGCCGGAAACGGGATCCACAGCGGGAACCAGAACGGGACCCTTTGAAACCTGGGCACATCCGAAACCCTGCAAAATCCCGGCTTGGACCGGAGCCGACAGTTCCGGACGAATATCGAACTCGGTTTTGAACCCGAGGATCAGCCGGTTCACCACTACGAGATTGCATCACGATCGTGATTTCGTCGAGCCCTCTTGATAGCAAATCTTATCGTTCTCGCCGCCCACTTATCCATTACATCTCTTATTCCATAGCACAAAGTCGCGGGCACCTTTTTTGTGAGGCTCGATTCCTCCGCTAGAATATGTATAGGACCATCTGAGCCAGGGCGTGGGCAGAAAGCCGTGTCTTGCTTACGCTAGCCAAATATCTGCTTGTTATTCTCTGATTAGGCCTGCGTCCCTCAGGTCTCAGGTTCACGAATCATTATCTACAGGCAACGCTCAAGCTGCTTGGAACTGGCCCATCTCCCTATCACGGCAAGAATCGATTCGTTCCCAGAAAGGAGAGCTTAAGTATTTGGGAGCTTGTCGTCCAGGTGTCAAAAAGGAAGGACACGAAACGTTCAATATCTACCGATTCCCGGGACTATAACAGTCCGCAGACAAAGGAGCCCCAGGGTTCCATCACCAAGACGCTCCGCTAGAGCCCCGTTAAAATCTCTTTTCGCCCTAATGTCCAAATTGAACCTCATAGACAAGAGAAAGAGTAGAGAGTATGTCAAAGACAGTGCACCGAGGCGTTCTTCGAAGCTAATATCATTTATCGTCAGCTCAGGGCACTGAGCTGGCGGCTCCGCTGGCTGCTCGACTGGCTGGGCCGGCTCCTCCGCCGGCTAGCTCCTCTGGCTCCTTGATATGGGCGTCTTTAATTGCGACATCACAACATCGGTATTCCTGATAATCACACTGTTGATCGACCCAAATAACATAAGGGTTGAATTCCTCGATAGCTGAATGGCGAAGGAGGACCCGGACCATTGATTCGTCGTCTTTGAGCCCAAGACCCGAAGCCTTCTGTGGCCAATAGGTAACGATATGGCGGTTTTGGTTAAGGTCGCATTTGCGTCTCTCGATAAAACGTTTAAGATCATTCGTATCCCGCGGGAACCAAGAGCGCCGGGTAGGATTTTCATTTCGGAAACCCATTTCAGGACCTCTGGATGGATTGTATCGCGAGACGATTTTGCTATCAAAGTTAGCTCTTATATTTGATCGTGTGAATGTACCAGGCTGACCGTAGTGTTCAAGTCTAGAGATAGAGGCTCGCAATGTCTGGCCTTTGCCGTTATATTGTGTGGGAGATCTGCCAGCATGTCGCTCTCATTCGGGGTAGTATTACTAGATGCTGGCAATTAGGTTTTTAATTTAGATTCCAGAAACTGACATTATTGTTTCGCCTCTGATATTAATGGGGCGCTTTCTTGTTGGTGGCGTATGGAGACGGGCAGGCGAAGGCGGGGTTGTTCAAACTGCTGCACTTGTTATGCAAGTTGCACGTCGTCTTATTCGGCGTCCTTGGTTCGAAATTTGTTCCAGCTGCTGCTAGTGGCGCCGAGAGACAGCCAAGTGAAGGCGGGTTGTTCCAGCCTGCGGCAACCCCAGGTCTTGAGCAAGTTTCTGGAATCTAAATTGCCGGCCAATCGCCAGCTTTTAGAAACCTTGTTAGAATTCGTTGGCACATTCACAGCAGATCATGGGTTTCATTCAGTCCGCCCTGGGAATGTATGGTCAGGATGAAGATGGCGGTCATGGGCGAGGGATGCACCATCGGAGGCGGGGTCGAGTCGCACCCCAACAGCCAGGCGGCGATGTCGGACCGTGACTGCTGGGGAGCATGCTGCAGGCGGTCAAGCGGGATGGGGACGGGACTACAGGTTGCGCGGATGTACAAGGATTTTTGTTTATATAGGGGGTTTACAATCAAGGAACGGAAGGCAGTAACTTGCGAGAGCTCAGCTCCTGCAAATGTGCTTGGCTAGGCAAAGGTAACCGTACGCTCTCTTCCCCCCTAAACGCAGCTTAGCGTATCCGGGCCGACTCCTCCGGCCAAGTCCTGCCGGAACATCAAAACTCAACCACGGACTTGCGCGCTTCTCTACACCAACATTCGTCCTCGAGCAGCCTTACGATCACGTTTAGTCAGCACCTAAGAGGCGTGGTCGGCCGACAGGCTTGAATCTCAGGTGCTTGTTGCTTTCATGAGCTATTTTCTCACTTTGGTCATGAGACGCGGTGAAGAATATCACACATAGAAACTGGCATCCCATTGCTTGCTTTGGGCAAAGTAGCCAAATAACTGTAATTGCGTAGCTGATATTCATTCCAGAATAGCCAACCCAGACCGGCAGCTAGCTCTCAGAAGATATCCCCTTGCTGCATACCCTTGCCACGATAGCTTCTCACTCAAGATTCGAATAGATGAAGTCCCATAGCTCTAGCTTCAGACTCTGTCATTGTTCGCATGTACTCGTTCAAATAGGTTACTCCATCTTGGCGGCCTTCTGAGGTAGCATTGCCATCGGTTCGGTCATGGGTTCTGTCTACCTCTACATTGGTGCCGTTCGTATTTTGACCTCCGGCTTGGTCATTGCTCGCGTGGGCAGTGATCTGCTGGCCCCTTTGAGCAGGAGTGCTTGGAGCAGGAGGGTTCGACTGGTCGCCCGACATGGTATCAATCGATTTGCGGGAGATGGAGAAGGAGAGAGCACCGTCGATATCCTTCCTGCAGTTGGTGTAATAATCCAGGAAAGATGATGACCTGGCGGCGTGAGCTGCTATCTGCAAGTGGTAGGCATCAGTTTGCTGTCGAAGAATAGCCGTGATGGTTTCTTACCTATGCAGAAAGGAGCACTTGAAAGCTTGCGCCTGCTAGTTACAGCACAATGTGCTAGCTGGGCGATACTAGTGGATGGTTGAATGGAGGGCAGCAACCTGTAAACGTGAGCACATCCCTTAGAAAAGGTAGATAGTTAATGTTTTCACGAACAGTAAGTGATTGGATAGGTTGGGGATGCTCTGGATGATTGCTTGGATGGAAGGGTGCTTCAAATATAGGAGGAAGCACTAGCCGTTAATCGTTGACAGGAACTACAGTTTTTTATACCTATCAACCCTTTGGCGTCCCCCACACCTTTCGCCCGCTCCTCTAGAATATCTTAGGCTCGGCTGCGGAAGCAACATGAAAGTCCTCTTAGAGCTGTAGGTAGAAAAAGGCTTGCAGATGGATACGCTCTCGGCAGACGCGATAGATCCGCATTTATGAACGGGAAAACTCAGCATGACGGTGATGATCGACAGACCGCGCCTTATATTGTCTCGATTTTGCTTAGGTGTATAAATTAAAGGCTTAATAAAGAAAAAGGCGTTTTGTATTAGCATCCTTTATAATAGAAGAGAAAGGTGGTTGGTTAATAAGTTGTTTAAAGTTAATATACCCCTTATATTGTGCGGCACGGTGGGTCGTGCGCGACCTAAGGACGGACGTTAGCTGCAAAAATACAACCTATAGGTAACTATAAATAGAGCAGGTAAAAAGTATAAGAGGTAGATTATAGGCTTAAATATAGAGCAACTTTACTAAACTGCGCTATAAGTAATTAGTAAAGTAGAGTTAAAAAAAGGGCGCTAAGTTAATAAAGTAGCTATTCTCAGGCGTTGGTAACAGGAAGTTCCCTGCTGCGGCGAGGGAGTGTTATATTATTGCGCGTAAGGACTTGCTTCTTAGCGCGCTAAATCTGCTGCTTTAATCCCCTGCTATTAAGTTTCTTTAATTTATAGCAATATACTTCTTTATTACGCCTTAGTATTCTAGAAGCTAATAGGGATATAGGATCTTTTTAGGGCATGCTTAAAACAGCGATCTAAAGGATAAAGGCGAATTAAAGGGTCTACTCGAAACGCTTTAAGTAAGGCATAAATTGTTGCAATATATAGACAAAATTATTAAAAACAACCTGCTAGGCTGTATCGCGCTTAATAGAACGCATATTATATAACGTATTCCACTACTAAGCCGGCTAAACCACCGAGCCGGCTACTTTTCCTTAGCATAACCAACACCATATACGCGCAGTTAATTTATTCGCAACTAGCTATAGAACTTGTATACGATACACTTAGATTAGATTTAGAAGAAGCTTTTTAATCCTTTTTACACGTACGCGCATTATGCCCAGCCTTTCCATAGTTTTTATAGCGCTGTTAAGCTAGTAGAGCCCTATTTACACTATCTCTACTACCTACCTTTTTCCGTGGATTAGATGCTCTAGACACTTTAGCAGCTATATACAACGCTGCTATACTATACTCTATTATACCGCTAGTCTGGATTCGCTTTCTTTTACAACCTTTACGCTTAGTTATCTCTGCTAGTTGCTTTTTAAGCTTTTTAACCCGGGCTTTAATAAGTATATTTTTATATAGCATTTCTTTAGCTCCTTTAATAAGCTTTAAGAAGCCTTTTTAGGCGGTTATTAGTAACTATATAAAGGAATTACTTACTAGCCTTAACTATAATCTAAATTTATATATATTACTTAG